CCTGACGAGAAAATGTGAGGGGAAGTTTGAGAAGTTGAGAACAGGAGAACTTAAAATAAATTTGTTATGCAAATTAAGAAAAACCCTACAACTACTTCTGTCGAAAAACCTTGAGGGAGAAGGACCTGAGGTATCCACGCATGGATTCCTTTGCGTACCAACCCCCCCCCCAGATTCATCCACGGGCATCGCATAGCTGCAGATATGTTGGCAAACTTTTCTATATGCTGGTGGAGATTACTTCAAGACCTATGTACTAAGTGTACCGATTACTATGCATAAGACCAAAGACCCGAGTACCGTGGGCTGTATCCCTATCTGTCTCTGACAATCACGTACGCAAAACCCGATTTTAGTTATCTTGTATTAAAAACATTGCGACTACTTCATGAAAACATCTGATGTGTACACCACATGACTTCCTTGCACGAAATATTAAATTAAACGCATTTTTTCCTGCATTTCATTTAAACTTATTGAATTATAAATCAGTCGGATAGCGATAAAACATAGAAAAATTCATTTTTAAAATTCACTATATTTTTAAATCGCAACACTCATGCGCTAGGTCACTTTCATTTTATAACTTAGATCTCAAAACTTTTCAATCATTGAAGAATTATCTATTGTTGCCACATGTTTTATCAAAAACTAATAAATTTAAAGCGTATAAAGAAGTTAGACAAAATTAAAGAAACGTTGTTATTGCAAACTTATTTCTTAGTTGGCAACAAATCCACTCTCGACTAAGTTCAAATGTAAACACATACGGATCTATGGAAGAAAATATGCTAGCCGCACTTAAAAACCTTTTACATTGTGATATTCTACAAATATTGCATGCCGGTTAATTAAGGCATAAAACCCTTAACCGGAAGATTAGAACAACATAATTCAATCATTTTTAAAGCAAAAAATGCACAATTTACCAACATATAAAAATAAAAAAACTGAGCTCACGGAGCCGAGTAACAGACTGTGTGTATATATATATTTATTTACTTTTGGTGCTGCCGATTGCCACCGAAAAGGGAGGTGCACAACTACATCCTACAGCTGTTCTATATGTAAAATTTCAACGTTCTGCGTTTTTGAGTTATGCGAGATACCTACATACATATGCACGACCGTAAGTACGTACAGACGCCACAAAAATCTCTTTTGAATCCATTTTAAATCAGTTTTATAATTTTTTTGGAAAGACCGAGTCCTTTATTCTGCCCATATGTACATATCTCACGCAAAAATATCGTTAAATTGCGCTCGATAGCGGTCAAAATGGATATTTTCATTGAAATATGGTATCTGGAATATTTCGTGATTACAATACTTCCTTTACTTCGTACAAGGAAGTAATTAATATTTCTTGTTCTTAAATTAGAGACATTGTTGGTGACAAAGGCAAAGAACACTACGAGACAGAGAGTATGGACGTATGTGGAAGTCGAAACAGAAAACAGGGCAAATTCCATGGTAAGTAATTTCGAAATGATTCAAATTTTATATTGTGAAAATTATTATATTCATTTTTATAATGTGCAAAATAGAATCTTTTGTGAAAATTAATAATTAGAGTTTTTCTTGTCAATTTTCACGATATATCTTGAGTACCAACCATTCAATTTTTATTTTTTAATGCCCATTAGTACAATGATTTGTATTTTGGTTTCTTTATGTATTTTTATGACAGTATTCTATTGTCAATTCTAGCTTACATTTTCAATATTTTTCTGTGTTATAGTTTTTAGTTTCAGGCATTTTGCCAATGTATTAATTTTTTCACCTTTCTTTCTTTTCTTTTGGATCGTATTCTTAAATTTTAGGCAAGTACTTTTTCATTTCCACTCTATTGTTGCTGGGCTTCTAATATGTAATTTAATTTAGTTTTTCATAATTAATATATTTCTAAATATTAATTAACTTTCTGAATCACAAACTAGCTTAGGAAAAGTTCAATTTCCTTTTGCATTTCTTGAGACGCCAACACATTGATGAAGGTATCCCAATATTAATAAACTTTTTGTGTTAGGAATGATCTCAATCTCAAACTAATTTTCTCTTCGAATATCTCGAGACACCACGTCCTTTATAAGGATGTCCCGGGAAATGTAAAACGTTTTAGTTATTAATTTCTTCCTCCTTTTCTGTATTTTTGGAGAAATTTTTAAAAATACTTTAGTGTGTTTGATCGAAATTTTATTCTCCTCTGGAGTACATATATAAGTTTGGGTTTGAAATTTCCTTTTAATTTTAGTTTTGTTTGTTCATAAAGTTAGTTTCATAAAGAAATTTTCACTTTTCTTAGTAACATCTATTGACTCTCTTACATTGCTTTGAAGGAATTTTCGGTTCCATTTTGTTATATCTAAGTATGATTTTTGAATTAATTTTTAATTTTCATTTTAATTTCAAATTACGTATACATTCCGTGTGACTCAAATGTATAAAAAAGTGTACAAATTCAATAATTCGAAAAGTGGACACAGTACCACCACGCGGTGTTCAGAGATAAACCAAACATTTTGATGTCAAAGTAGTAGTCACTGACAGGTGGTTCCTTCATTTGTGATAGAATTTCACATGATGGCACAGCATAGTTCGCAACGTAACTAGAATAACAAATAGAATAACCGTCATTCGTGGCTTCCTGTCACATGACAATAAGAATAATAAAATGTATGTCATCCGCATGTCTTCAAAGACGGTATTACCCTTGCCTTCCTTTAAAACTTCCGTTTTTCGCAGGATTCGTGGGCTCGCAAATCTCTAAGAGGGAATTCAGTGATATATTTCAGCTACACCGCTCCACTCCTGAGTACCAGAGGTGGGGTTTAAAAACTTACCTTCGCCAGAAGGGTAACTAATCACTCCTGAATCCCAATACCAAAGGTGGGGTTGAAAAAATTACCTTTGCCAGGAGGGTAACTTGTCACTCCTGAATCCCAATACCAGAGGTGGGGTTTAAAAATTACCTTCGCCAGGAGGATAACTAGTCACTCCTGAGTTCTAATACCAGAGGTGGGGTTTAAATAATTACCTTTGCCAGGAGAGTAACTTGTCACTCCTGAATCCCAATACCAGAGGTGAGGTTTAAAAAATTACCTTCGCCAGGAGGGTAACTTGTCACTGGTAACTTTTGTCATACTGCTGCTCAGCTTAGCCATGCTATCTCGAATTCCCTTGGCACTATAGTAGTCTATGAAGAGCGATATAGTGAACAGTTACGGGAGTTTGGTAGGAGCTGTTTGCTCACATTTCAGAAGTTCTGTGACAGTCTAGTGTACACTGAAGGATGCGAGCTTTTTCCCCTCTGGTACCATAGGCATAATTTACATTCTTTCCCATTGTTCACGTTTGCAGATAATAATAGTCTATTCTTTTGAGAGTGGTTTCAGGGACGATTGTATATCTAACCTTCCTGCATTCTAGGGTTAGTCTTTGGAGTATGGTAACAGGTAGTTTGACTACATTTTGGTAAGGCGATTAAGGTTACTAGCTAGGACTTTAGTAGTGTACATGGATAAAGTCAAGAGTGTGCGCAATGCCATTTTTGTGCAATTCTGGGATGTTCTTTTAAGTGAAAATAGGTCGACGAGTACATGGATACCGTGTATATGCAATTCTTAAAAACGCGGAAAGCAGTGGGTGATTCTACACTTTCTCCCGATTTCGCACCTAATCTTCGTCATGATTAAGAAGGACTTTTGTTCCATAAAAGCTCTAGTTAAGCGTTTCGGCTAGCAGATTGTTGGAAAAGGTTTGAGTTAAAAAAAAAAAAAAAAAAAAAAAAAAAAGTAGCAGGGTTGGTCGCCAAAAAATCGCCAAGTTACCATAATCCGAAGATTAACCCATTCTAGTCCACTGCTGACATTCTTCTAAAAATGCAGGCTTTTTTTGCTGCCGACCTTATATGGCCTATAACTCAATTTAATACGGTCGGATGGATGGTCTTTTGCTTTGCTAACACTTTTTGTAGTGCCTTTATATGGGATGGTTTGGATTTCCTTTTGTTAATTCTTTATAGCACGCCCCTCATGTACGAATAAAAATAGTCTCCTTTGCGATGTTTTTCCTTGCACATAAGGCTGCCTTGCGCAGGACTTCGCTTGAAAAATAAAATAAGAGTACGATTGCTAAGTCTAAATTCTCATGGCAAATTTCAGCATTGTGTTTAAGTACTACGTAGGCTTCCTGCACGAGAAAAATGTTTCTGACTTCAAACCGTCTCCATGACTTCGCTATGAAGAGAGCCATTACCAGTGTACTTCCGTCTTTTGTGCCAGGTGTAGGCGCGTTGCTTGTTTGAGTTCTGTACTCTTTCTCTATGACGTATTATATTTTCATTGCAATTCGCGTTCTTTTCATAGTGAAAGACCATGTAGATTAGGCGTTCTGTCAGCTCTTTTCGGCCTAGACGCAATGCCTCTTCAAGACCCTGCCGTGCTACTGGTGATGTTGTTCTGAAACCTTAGGCGATTTTTGGTCAATGCTATTTGCTTGATTTGTTGCAGCTTTTGTCATACTGCTGTTGTTCGTTTCATCCACACTTAGCTGCGGTATAGAATCGTTAAGCCCATGGCCCTTAACTACAATTCATTAATAGGTCCTCCTTTCAGACTCAATGTGTTATTAATTATTCTGTTCAGTTTAGTATTTACTTTGTTCATTTTTTTTCTGACTGAAACACTTCTTAACCAGTGCAATGCCTAGACAGATCATAGGATCTTATTATTTTAACATCCCTTGCGATTTTTGACTGCTGGTTTTGACCTTTCAGAATACGATCATCGCAAATTTTTCTATAGTAATGTTAAGATTGTATGTTGCAGTTCACTGCTTTAGGTTATTTAGTGCGTTTCTCGCCTTCTTCTTTATTATAGTTCAATTTGCTCCTCTGGTCATCAAAGTAAAATCATTAGTATATGTTTATATTTAAGTCTGTATGTCAGTATACGCTTGTTTCTATTTATTTTGCTTTCTTCAAAGTTCATCTTTAAAGCTGTGTCAGCCATTTTGTCTCAGACTATAGTTGTATGTTCGAACACTGTGAGCTCAATTGTGGTATTCTGACATGATACTTACTGCATCTCTTTTGCATGTTATTTTGCTGTCCTCCAGGTAGCTTCTTATTAATTTATAGAAATTTGGGTGTTGATGTATTGGTGTATTGAGAATAGGGCAAAGCACACTAGGGCTATCTGGCTAAGGGAAGGGATGCCTTCGTGGAGGACTTTCTAAGGGGAACTGGCTGTATACACTTACACATGGGGAAAACCACGAAAACGCCCATGCAGCCAGCCCGTTCGCAGGATTCGAACCTCGGACTGAACTACCAGTGTTCAGCGATTTTATCGGTCGGCCGCTGGTGGGCTATAGAAATTTAAGAGGGATGACGGTTTTCTGAACTTTTTTAACTATTTCACACCGAAGTCGCCCCAAACGCCCGACCATTCAGACATTGGCAGGTCACCTGAACGCCTGAATAATTTCCTACCTAGTGCTTTCCCAATCACGTTACTGCATTCTCATTGCTTTCAGGAGTTGTTAAATGACATGTCAATTATTCTTTTGAAGCAACTAAAAGTAGTTTCGTTATTTTAATGCACCTTCTTTTTCCCTTGTGTAATGTCAATGTTTAGCTATTTATGCCCGATGTTCAATCCCGTCTGAAGGGAAAACTTCGCACAGGGTAAAAGCTTCCAAGAAAGAAGCTTTACTTAAGTAGGTTATTGTTAGTGCTGTAGTATTCAATTTGTCATGGGAAGCAAAAGCATTGCAAGAGGAATTCGTATACATGGGCGTTTTTCGATGTTGAGGAAAAGCAATTTGGTCTTCTCTCGATGCGAAAGAGTTAAGGACATCTATAGTACTGTTACCTTTAGTGAGGTCGAAAGACACCAGGCTTAGGAAGTTATTCTTTTCGATATGTGTGTGAGTTGTTGAATGATTATTTTGCGTATGACTTCCCGCCATGCCAATAATAAGCAGATGGGCCTGGACGAAAACGGCTTACTTTTTGCTTTCCTTTTTGCACGTGGTGTGGCCGCCATTTTGTATTGCATGGTTCGGTAGTACTTTTTGCTAATTTGAGTTCGTTTGTGTTCACTATTTGGATCTGTGCTTTGCTAGTCTGATTTCATCATTTGGTTACAACGTTGTGTTCCATCATCAGGAGGATTTTTCTGCTGTTTGTGCGGTTTATTATTTAGTTCATTTAGTTTGATTTTTGCATTGTTTATCTACCTTCATCCTTAATCGTTTCACTAAATCACCCTGAAACGACAAAATTCCTGATCTAGTGCTTTACTCAGTTAATGTAAAAATATCCCAATTTCATCAAATCAATCTAATCAAAACCTCCAGTCGCGTTCAAGAATCTGTTAAATGCAAGCTTGCCTTCTTCGGCCATATAAGGATAACGTCACAGTTGTCTAGCAGCAAGCCTCCACATTTATTCACACAAGGTATTTCAC